TATCAGACAGAGGAATTTGTCTTTTTTTTTTTTTACTTAGATTTGATGAAAAAAACGGTGAACCATTAAAGATGCTCTTATAGTTTGATTGTAATATGTTTCATTATCTAAACTAATGGTAAGTATTTTATTTTGCAAAACCCACTCATATAATACATTTTTATTTCTATACCAAGCGAATGACCAGTGTATGGAAGTTCAGCTAATCTAAATAAAATAATTCTTATATTTAATTTCTAATCATTATCAATAAAATGTGCAGTGATACATTGATATTCTAAACCATTATTTGACCATAGATCAAATGTTAAACAAACTCTTCCATTAAAATTTTTGAAGATGTCAAATAATTCACTTTTAACATCCTCAAATTTCTTTAAAATCTTGTTTCTAGTAGTATTTCTTAGAAAACTTTGATATTGTGGTACAAAACTTTCGTGAATCATTTAGGCAAAATCGAGAAATTCAATAGTAGTAAAAGGTTGTTTTTTTTTAATAATATAATCAATTACAGAATATTGTGCATATATAGGATCATATGAAAAAGTTTGCAAATGACCAGTTGATGAAGCCCCTAATTGCATTTCAATTCTAATATTAGATTGTTGACTTTGTAAGGGGTTGTTTGAGATGTCCTAAAATAAGTGCACTTTTTGACTTTATAGACTAAAAAGTTGAGGAAAAAAATATGGTTGTTTGGGTTAACTTTTTGACTTTTTATGGAAAAATATGTATTAAAAAATTGTATAAATTAGTATGTAGGGGAAAATTAGGATTGGGAGTAGTACAGCCGTACTTTTTGACTTTTGGTGAATAGAGAAAATTTTTTAATTTTTTGAGTAATTTTTTGGCTTTTTAACTTTTTGGGCACATGTCAAACTTGGCCTAAATGTCTATTGCCATGCTTTTTGAGATGACTAGTACCCCCTGCAGATACAACACTAAGTAAATGTGGACAATATTTACATTTTTCTTTAAATGTAATTGTGTCATCAAGATTTTTTATGGATATTTTTTCAAAATGTTCCCAAACACCACTAGTTGTGCCCCTAGATAATGATACAGCTGTTGGAAGAGGGATATTAGATACATTAGAAGGAGAATCAATAGACTCATATTGTGTAGTATATGCATCAATATTGATATAAACATTAGGAATATTAGGATCCATATATAGTAATGTAAGTAAAATAATATATAAGAAGAGGGGTTAAGCAAATTAAGAATATAAATCAGTTTAACTAATGATTGAAAAGACAAGCTCCGTGCGGCAAAAGAGATTGCCTTGCGCCGGCGGATCCTTTTCTTCGGCGGTCGTACGTTCGAGTTAGAGGAGTCATCGGTGGATTCCATTGGTCATCATAGTCTGTCAATTGTGGAGAGAGGACAGGGGCTCCACCAGGCTATTGTTTTGGTTGGTTTTGAAATATGCTAGATTCTGACGAATCTACGGATGGCATCGCAAGCACCAGATCATCTGCGATTTTGGGTCGCCTTAGTGGAGGCAGAAGACGGAGTTTAGAAGTGTGGATTCGTGGAGAAGCTGAAGGAGGGTCTTCTGTCCAACTAGTGGTGATTATGGGGGTCCGACGGGAGCAAGTCTTCATTCCTATGTTAGTTTATGGGGATGGTTGGGAGAGATTGGCCTTGGTTTTGGAGGGTTTCAAAATGGAGAATGGATGGGGGAAGCAGTCTGCTGGTTTGAAGGGCAAGATAGTGATAGTGAAGGAGGCACCGTTGAAAGCTTTCCCTGGTAAGGTCGTTTCTGACAAGGACTTCGCGAAACCTTGTACTGAAGTGGGGTGGTTCAAGTTGCTGGATAGATCTTTGGTGGGTACGGTGGGGAGACGTGTGGGTTTGGGGGCTATGTGTGCTTGGGTCAACTGGTGGTGGAAGTCTTCAGGCAAGGTGGAGGTACGTTTGTTAGGGAACCAGGCTTTTTTGTTTGTGTTCTCGTCAAGGCGTGAGGCAGACTCTGATGAGGTGGCGGTGGACTGTTAAGGGGAGCGATCTGAACTTGGAGTGATGGTCGACTTTGGCTCTTTGCGCTTCCAACCAGATGCCGGCTCCGGAGAAGAGCGTTTGGCTTTGTGTGATGGGTCTTCCTGTCCATCTTTGTGGCGACAAGGTGTACCGTGATATTGGCGACCGGTGTGGAGGCTTCGTGGCGGCCAACGAGTCAACGGCTGATCTGGGCTGTATTCGTCTGCAAGTACGGAGCTCTGAATCTACGCCGCCACACATTTTGGTTCGGTGGAGATCGTGGCCGGTCACTCTTCAGATGTGGGTGGAGGTTGGGCTGTCAGTGGAGTGTGTGGCATCAGTGGTAGGGTTGTGTGACAGTGATGGGTTTGGCTTGGAATTATGTGATTTGAGGTGTTATCAGGGGGATAGAGTGCGAAATTTGGGCATGAGTGATTATCTTCAAAGATTTGAGGGAGATTTTAAGGGTAAGGGCAAGCGGGGCAACCTAACCCGAGAGGGGTCCAGTCGGGGAAGGGTTGGTTTTTTGGGCCACATTGAGGCCTAAATTGCTGTGGGCCAAAAGGTGGGTCAACAATGCTAGGTTTTAAAAGAAGGAAATTTAGGGGTGAATCGTGGGCTTAATGTTTTGGGCCATTTAGGCCAGGTTGTTAGGTCTCCGAGTGGGTCAAGTAGTGGTTCTAGTTCAGACTCGAACCATTATAGCTCAGTAGATCCTTTTGTGTCAGTGGTGGCGAACGACGGATCTGGGCCTCGATAGACGATTAATCCAAGGCTAGGATCCATGTCGACGACACGAGACATGGCGGGGGCTGTGGGGTGGTCGTCACCTAATCTTCGACAGGCCGAAGGTACTGATGTTTTGGGGGTTGTGCCGCGATTGATAGTGGGCGATCTCTGAGAGGTCGACGGTTCTGTTGTTTCGGGGAGAGTGCCGCGATTTAGGTCGCCGATAGTGGGCGAGCATCTTCGGGAGGTGTCGGCTGTTCGAGAGAAGGGTATCGCAGTAGAGGTGGAGGACACAAGTTGCTGGGCTTGTTTGACAGAGGAGTTGGCTCTGGTGGTTCAGCCAGGGGTAGGGATCACTGAGATAGATGTAATATACACTGGTTAAATTTGATGGCCTTGCGACAGAGGTGGATTTTCAGGGTGCTGTTCCTCCGCAGCCTGAGGTGGTCTCGGCCTGGGTGTTATCTCACATCACTGGGGTAAGTCAGCTCTTGGGTGTTTCTTTTGAGGGTCATGAAATTGAGGCTCTTAAAGTATTTTCGGCCATTGAGGAATCTTGGAGGGGAGTTGCTCCATTGCAAAAGGAGATGCCATCGGGAGGACATAATACGAAGAATGCTAGGGAGTTCCGTAAATTTGAGTGTTCGATAAATTATGATCAGCACAAAGGTGGGGACAATTGTGTTGTCAGAAAGGTCGAGGAGCTCAATTGTTGTTGTCATGCGGTTAAAAATCTAATTTTGGAATGTGCGTGGTTTGAATGATAGGGAGAAGAGGGTTTCAGTTCGAGCTCTACTGAGAAGTGTTAAGGCGGATGTGGTGTGTATTTAGGAAACAAAAGTTGAATGCATTGGGAGAGAGACAGTTAAAGAGCTATTGGGGAGGGGGGACGCTTTGTGGATTGGACTTTCTTGCCAGCGGTGGAGGTGGCATGGGATGTTCTTCTTTGTTGGGATCGGCGGGTGCTGGAAAAAGAGGATGAGGAGATGGGGGCTTATTCGATATCTTGTTTGTTTCATAGTGTTGCGGATGATTATCGATTCGATAGGCCTTCACTGGGGTATATTGGCCAGTAAGGGAGTGAAACGGGTCAGCTTTTGGGAGGAGTTACAATGTGTAGCTTTTCGATGGGGGGTTTCTTGGTGTGTGGGGGGTGATTTTAATGTAGTGCATTATATGGTGGAGAAGAAGGGGGTGACATCAGTTTCAGGATCCATGCAGGCTTTCTCTTTGTTTATTGATGAGTTGGATTTGATGGATTTGCCGTTACAGGGGGGTGGTTATACTTGGTCTGGGGGCAGGGTTATGTCTCGTATAGATAGATTCCTGGTTACTGGAGACTAGGAGGAGCATTTCTCATAGGTGACACAATTGAGGTTGCATCGGCTTGTTTTTTATCATTGGCTAGTTTTATTGGATAGTGGGGGGATTAGGAGTGGTCCGACGCCATTTCGATTTGAGAATATGTGGCTTGAGGCGAAAGGGTTTGGTGAGATAGTTCGAGGGTGGTGGGGCAGTTATATGGTGCTTGGAGATCCCAGTTTCCGCCTCTCTCGGAAGTTGAAACTCCTTAAGTCTGATTTGAAGCAATGGAACAGGGAGGTGTTTGGGCGGCTGGAGATTCAAAAAGCAAGCGCTTTAGCAGTTATACAGGGATTGGATGAGAAAGAGGAAGTGGGTTTTTTGTTAGGAGAGGATATGGTTCTTCGAGATGTGGCCCGTAGGGACTTCGGGCAGGTGGCTCCTATGGAGGAGATTAGCTATCGCCAAAAATCTAGATGCTTGTGGCTGCAGGACGGGGATCGAACACAAGGTTCTTTCATCGTATGGCTAATACACATCGACGGGTGAATCAGGTGTCGAAGATTCAGGTAACTGGGGTGGAGTTTTCGTCGTCAAAGAAGATCAGGGGGGCTATAGTGGGCTTCTACGAGCATCTCTTTCGGCTGGATGGGGATGTCTGGAGGCCACGGTTGGATGGGGTTGTGTTTGATGCCATCTCTGAGGTGGATTGTACTATGTTGGAGAGGGCATTTACGGAAGAAGAGGTGTTTGCAGCGTTGCGGAGTATGCCTGGCGATAAGGCACCTAGGCCAGATAGTTTTTCCATATATTTTTTCCATCATTGTTGGGGTGTGGTCAAAGAGGATGTTATGGTTATGTTTGAGCAGTTCGATCAGACGGGATAGTTTGAGAAGAGTTTGAATGCCACTTTTATAGCATTGATCCCAAAGAAGGGTGGAGCAGAGGATATTCGGGACTTTTGACCTATTAGTCTTTTGGGGAGTATGTATAAGTTGTTGGCAAAGGTGCTGGCAAACAGGCTTCGAGTGGTGTTGGCGGGGGTGGTTTCGGAGTCTCAGAATGCTTTTGTAGGTGGCAGGCAAATCTTCGATGCGGTCTTGGTAGCCAATGAGTGTGTGGATTCAAGGTTGAGGCACGGGAAGGAGGGGATCATTTGCAAATTAGACATTAAGAAGGCATATGACGACGTTAACTGGGATTTGTGGATGTATGTGTTGGATTGGATGGGTTTTGGGGCTAATTGGGGGCGGTGGATTCGTTATTGTATTTTGACTGTGCGGATGTCTGTTTTGATCAATGGTTCTCTAGCAGAATTCTTTCCTATGTATCGAGGCTTGTGGCAAGGAGATCCTTTATCTCCGTTGTTGTTCATTCTGGTTATGCAGGATTTGGGTCGTTTGTTGTCCAAGGCAGTTCCTGGCGGTTTGTTAAAGGGATTTGAGGTGGGTTCGGGTCATGCGTCTTTGCTGGTTTCACATCTTTTCTATGCAAATGATGCTTTTATATTTTGTGATGCAGCTGTAGACCAGATTGGACATCTTCAGTGTGTGTTGTGTTTTGAGGCCGTGTCAGGATTGTGGGTTAATCTTTCAAAGTCTGAATTGATTGTGGTTGGGGAGGTGGCATGGTTGCTGATTTTGGCAGCAATTCTGGGGTGTAAAGTGGTGGTGTTGTCGATATCGTATCTTGGTCTTCTTTTGGGAGCCTCTTTCAAGGCTTGTGGGGTATGGGATAGAGTGATAGAAAGGGTGCAACAGAGGTTAGCTAGTTGGAAGCGTCAATACTTGTCAAAAGGGGGGAGGCTTACCTTGATCAAGAGTGTCTTGTTGAGTATCCCGACTTATTTTATGTTTGTTCGTGTGATTTCGGTGGCAGCGGCTAGAAGGATTGAGAAGCTGCAGCGAGACTTTTTATGGGGTGCTGAGGGGGTGGTTTCTCATTCCCATTTGGTGGCTTGGGATCGAGTGTGTGTTCCAAAGGAGTTAGGGGGTTTGGGGATTAGGTGGCTAGTCTGGTTTAATTTAGCTTTGTTGGGTAAGTGGTTGCGGTGTTTTGTGGGAGAGGGAGCATTTATGGAGGAAGGTGGTTGTGGCGAAGTATGATTTGGGTAGAGGGGGGTGATGTTCAAGAAGGGTGGGGCTGACTCATGGTCGGGGTGTTTGGAAAGGCATTTGGTTGGGTTGGGAGGCGTTTTGGCATTGGGTTCGGTTGAAGGTTGGAGTGGGGGATAGAGTGCGTTTTTGGCGTGATAGGTGGTGTGGTGATATTCCTTTAGACCAGATGTTCCCGTTGATTTTTGGGATTGCTGAAGATTGTGAGGTCATGGTGGGGGCTGTTCGGCTTGGCCAGGGACAAGAGTGTGTTTGGAATGTTCATTTGCGCTGTTCTGTTCAAGATTGGGAGGTGGATCAGCTCGTGGAGCTGCTGGGTTTCTTATATGGGTTGCGCAGAGGGGGTGTAGAAGAGGATTTGTTGGTTTGGTCTTGCTCGGGTTCCAAAGGGCTATTTTTTGTGTCTTCATTCTATGGTGCGCTTGTTTCTGTCGATACAGATCTCTTCTCTTGGAAAATGTGTGTGGGTCTCAGGCACACCTTCCAAGGTAGCTTTCTTTGTCTGGATGGCAACTTTAGGCCGTATTCTGATCATTGATAATTTAAGGCTGTGTGGACATATTTTAGTAAATTGGTGTTGTTTGTGTTGTGGCGATACCGAGTCGGTGGATCATTTGCTTATTCATTGCCCAGTTGCTTCTAGGCCATGGATGCTTCTTGTTGCGACTTTTGGTTTGGTATGGGTACAGCCAGGCGCAGTGTCGGCAGTTTTACAAAGTTGGGCTGGGGTAGGGTTGGGCGGAGGTGTAGGAAAGCGTGGATGATAGCTTCTCACTGTTTAATGTGGCTTCTTTGGTTGGAGCGCAATAGGTGGGTTCTCCAAGGGGTGTCACATTCAGTTCCTTAGTTGGAGAGACGGTTGCTTATGGTGTTATATAATTGGGTTACGGGGTTGGTTGATCCTAATGTTTTGGCTTTTGTAGTTTTTGTGAAGGATTTATTATCCTAGTCTTTCTTTAGGGGACTGTTTTTTGTATTCTTTGGATCTTTTTGATGCTTTTCTAATAAAGTTCGCATATTTATCAAAAAAAAAAAATTACATTTAGTCAAACCTTTTGGAGTTCAAATCTTTGAACTTTTTGATCCTGTATTGAAAAGATGTGGCCTTTATTAAGTAGAATGGCAGTTTATTGCAAGTTTTCTGGCAGAAGCTTGCTCTAGAAAGGAATAATAAGTTCAGGATTTTTTAAATGTAATGAATGTTGCTGTTTAATATCAAAATATTTTTGAAGAGATGTGTACTGTTTGGATTGGGTCCTGAATTCTGAGCTCCATCATATTATCCTCTTTTCTGGTTATAAATTTTTCTTAATTACCAAAAAAATATAATTTTTGTTTTGTTTTGTTTTGTTTTGTTTTGTTTTGTTTAGATGGATTTTTGATTCTGTAGTGCTGCACTTCTTTGCTTTATGTCAGGATAAGGACAGATGTGTACACTCTTGTCACATCCACATTGTTCCTCTGTTGTGGATTTTATTGACTTTTTATATGATCCAGGGATGGGACATCAATTATACTTTCAGATAATGTTGGTCAATTATATATATTAAGCACAGGCCAAGGCGAGTCCCAAAAGGATGCGAAATATGATCAGGTACTACAAACCAAAGAGTAGATGAATACTGTTCATGTCGTTAGTATTTGTGCGACCCCTTATGGTACTGATGTATGTATATACCTGTTAACAGTTCTTCCTTGGGGACTATCGTCCCCTTGTCCAAGATACTCATGGGAATGCTCTCGACCAGGTTGGTTAATCTCTTTATTTTCATCACTTAACTTTTACTTTATGTGTAAATGAGTTTAGACAGTGCACCGCACTCATTTAGTCCGCTTATTTTAAGAAACTAGCATATATCATGATTCAGGATTTTAAAGTACTATTGCCTACAGGATTTACCAGGATTGGATTATGTATTGTATGTTGTTACTGTGTTCACGTGATGAGGGCTGTTATTCTTTTCCCTTTTCAGTAATTGATTATTTGTAGTATTTATATTACCATGAATGTAGTGTACTTCAACACATTGGATTTACTCTTAAAGCTTAATCCATTATTTGAATTGTATGCTACTTCTAATCCTTGTGTTGAAGAACCATTAAAGAACCATTTTGTCTTAAAGAACCATTTTGTCTCAGCTGCCCTAGCTTTAATGTTGATAATCATTATCATTCTGTCTTGTCTCTGGCTTTGCTAACTTCATTACTGACTTTACCATATCCTATTGATGGGATAGAGATCTTTATTTATTATATAAATTTTTTGAGGATCTCTTAATTTAAAAACTTAGCTAACTTCTGATGTTTTGATGTAGGAAACTCAACTTGCACCGTATAGGAGGAATATGCAAGATCTCCTGTGTGATGCGAGTTTGTTCTTGCTTCTTTTGCTTTCTGATGAAACTTTCATTCTTGAGATATTGTCCTTTGATACTTCTCTTTTTGTAAATGCTGTTTATGCATTGGTAAATGCTAGGCATGATTCCATACACAGAGCCTTATCAAAGCATGTACCAGCAACGGCGGTTAGGAGCTCTGGGAATTGAGTGGCGCCCATCTTCTGTAAGATTTGCTGTTGGGGCAGACGTAACTCTGGACCAAGATTACCAAATGCTTCCCATACCAGACTTGGATTTATTGATTGATCCACTACCAGAGTTTGTAGATGCCATGGATTGGGAACCAGAAATCGATGTGCAAAGTGAAGACACTGATTCAGAATATAATGTTGCTGAAGAGTTGTCTTCCGGAGGGGAACAAAGAAGCTTAAATTCTAATTCATCTGGTGATCCAGAGTGCAGTTCAGAAGAAAGTGGGGATGAGGACACTCATAACGATGTCCTCCGCCGATCAAAAAGGAAAAAGCAGAAGGCAGAAGTAAGAGTTCTCTTTATTTTATTTTAATTTTTCCTCCTTTTTTCCCAGATGCTAGAATTGATATTTCATCTTTCACCTTTTCAGGTTGAGATCATGACTTCTTCTGGGAGGCGTGTTAAGAGGAAAAATTTGGACGAGTATGATGGCAATACACAAAGAAATAACCAAAGGAGGAAGTCAAGACATGGCCGAAAAGCTTCAAAGAAGAAATCTTCTTCATTGAAATCATCGAGACCTCAGAGAGCTGCTGCTCGCAATGCTCTGACTTTGTTTTCCCGAATTACTGGAGTGTCTACAGATGGAGAAGACGAAGATGGATCAGAAGGTGATTCATCAGAAAGTGAATCTATACTGCAGGATTCAAGCATCGATAGTGAAGAATCTGATAAATCTTTGCAACATAAACAACATGAGCATTCAAAAGGGAAAGAAATATGTGTGGATGAGTCTGAGGATGTGGTTAAAACTCATGAATGCTCTGAACCTCCTTTGAATGCTGGAAACAGGAAGCGATTGGTCCTGAAATTGCCAGTTCGTGATTTAAACAAGTCTGTATCTGCAGGGAACACATTTCTCGAATGTGACAAGAAACCTGTTCTTGTAGGCTCTTCATCTAAATTTCCACAGGAAGCTAATGAAGTAAATCAGATTTACTCTCAGGATCCAGATTATTCATCTGGTGGTCAGAGGGGGGAACATGCAAAAGTTGAACATCGTTTAGAGCTGTTTGAAAGATATGATCGAAAAATTAAATGGGGAGGGTTCAAGGTCCGTACATCCAAACGTTTGAAAATGGGGGAACCCTTGCCAGTAACTGCTTATGCTGGATCAAGTTTATGCCTTCAAGATCATGCCAAGATTGAGAATGTTGCCAGTGGACACCCAACGCTTGAAAAGGAGTGTGGCAAAATTTATTCCAGTTTAGAAACTCAACAGCATGGTGGTCAGACAGACGATCTGGTTTGTATGAACCAGAAACATGCTGAGAATGGTTCTACTGAAGATTTGGATGGTGGAAGGAATGGAATAGAGAACTCTAGCTTCGATGAACATGGGGATTATGATGAATTAGAAAAACAGGACTATGAGTTTGTTGTTGATACAACCACATCTCTCTCCTATACCAATGGAATCGAAAACCCTCCTGAATTGAAAGAGAACCTGACACCAATTTCAACAAAGTTTAGGATAAGGTCAAAAAGGATTTCAAAGCATGATGAAAGTTGTAAGGCGAAAATTGAATCTTTCATGGAAGATGGGAGAAATGGTGGAAGTCATGCTCTATCCGAAAGCCCAGACATGAAGCAGAATCTAAATTCAGAAGTGCCTGATTATGATGATGCTGTTGGACCCAGTTCAGATCATGGAGTCCAGGAAGGCCTAGTAAAATCAGTGGCTCAGATTGATAGTACTTCCATGTCTGCCTTGCAAGACTCACATAAGTCAAATTCACATGATAAGATGTATAATGCTGTTTATAGAAGGTCAAAGTCTTCTAAGGCTAGAAGTAATCCAGAAGGTGACAGTGGAGGTGTAGCAAACACTTCAAATGTGAACAATCGTAATCTTGATGTTGGAGTAGACTTCTCTGAAGCCACACCTAATGTGGTTCGTCGGACACGGTCCATGGGGTTGAAGGCAACCACCCATGATGCAAATGCCATGGGATGTAACATCAAATTGAGGGAAGACGATGATGGTTCAAAAGATGCATCAGCAAGTGTCCAAAAATCTTCCATCAGTGCATGCAATGAACGTCCCTATGAAGAATGGGCATCTGGCTCAAGGGTTAGCGTTGGATTAAGGTCTACAAGAAATAGGAGAAGCAGTTATCACATTCGTGACACTAGTCCACCAGATCGAAGGACTTCGAAGTCACATCAACCAGGAAGAAACTCATGGTTGATGTTGTCAACACATGAGGAAGGCTCCCGATATATTCCCCAGCTAGAGGATGAAGTTGTATATTTGAGACAGGTGTGTACTAAATTTGATCATATTATATTGGGTAAATTACACTTCCACCCCCTACGTTATGGGTCATTTCTCACTTTGGTCCTTCAAGAAAAGGTTCTCCCACATTGGTCTCTGATTATTTGTTGTTTCCCACTTTGGTGCAATTATTAACTTCAGCCATGATTCATGGTAAAGTGGCAATTATAGAATTTCAAATTTTAAGTTTCTTACCGTAGTGCTTAAATTTTTGAAAGTTTTTTCACTTTGGTCCCAAAAAAAATTTCTCACTTCAGTCAATAAATCCAAACCCAACCTAATCTCAAAACCATCTCCACTCCCAAACCCACCCAATCTCAAAAATCAACTTTATATCAGACGGACATTTTTTTTTACAGTGGGTATGTGTCATTCGAGGAGCAAAGAGGCTCTGAATCATAGTGTGGTTAATGGAGGAGATGAAAGTGTTGCGCAACAACATTTTAGTGGAGGAGATTAAATTATTGTATTTTATTTTATTTTTGTAGTTAGACCATTTTTTGGGGTTAGGGATCATAGTGTGAATATCTTTTTCTTTAAGGACCAAAGTGTGAAAAGGCTTATACTTTATGAGGTAAAAGTATAATATATTTTATTTCCCTAATAAAAGTATAATGGTCGATGGTCAGAATTTGGACCAAAGTGGGAAGAATTTGATAGCTTTAGAATGAAAGTGAGAGAATCTTTTCTTTAGGGACCGAAGTGAGAAAAGCTTCATACTTTAGGGGGTGAAAGTGTAATTTACCTTATTTCTATTTGTTATTAATGATTGCCTTTTGGTTTGGCTTAATGTTTGATTAGGATGATAATTTTACTCGTTTACATTGGGACCCTTTTGATTTCTCAGGGGCATCTGGAATATTTTAGCCATAGTGGTGAAAAAGATGTAGGCCCTTGGAAAACAATAAAGGGAAACGTCAGAGCTGTGGAATTTTGTAGGGTTATGGCCCTCAAGTATTCGACACGTCCTTCTGGGGAAAGCTGCTGTAAAATGACACTTCTGTTTGTAGATTCTTCTTCCAGTGTTGATGGTAAATCATTTACATTGACTCTGCCTGAAGTAAGAGGTTTTCCAGACTTCCTTGTTGAAAGAAGTCGGTACGATGCTGCTATCCAGAGGAATTGGGCTTTTAGGGATAAATGCAAAGTCTGGTGGAGAAATGAAGGAGAGGAAAATGGGAGTTGGTGGGAAGGTCGGATTGTTACTGTGAAACCTAAATCTCCAGAATTTCCAGACAGTCCATGGGAAAAGTATGCTGTTCAGTACAAGAGTGACCCCACTGAAACACTTCTACATAGTCCTTGGGAGCTTCATGACTCTGAGACTCAATGGGAGCCACCTCGCATCAATGATGAGATCCGAGACAAGTTGCTCTGTTCGTTCGAAGAATTGGAGGAATCGGGTTGTGAAGATCAGGTAATCTAGTTTTTTTCTTTTTAAACACAGTTATATCAGGTAATCTAGTTCAAGCCTTCAGACTTATACATTATTTGAATGTTTAAATTGTGAAGGATGATCAATATGAAAACTGAACAATGACTACTGATTTCATTTGTACCACTGCAGGATCGTTATGGGATTCGAAAAATGAAACAAGTTTCACAGAAGACAAAATTTGTAAACAGGTATCTCGATGCATATTCTTGTTTGAGTGTTCCGGTTCTGTTTTGCATGTTTCCAACACTCGGACATGGTTACCCAGAAGAGAACCTTTTTCCCAACACAGATATTTGCATCCTTGTGCCCGGAAATATTTGTGAATATACTTTTATTATTTGAATTTCTTCTCTGATGAGTGGATTGGGAAGTTGAAGTTGTATTTTGATCCATTGAAATTTTGCAGGTTTCCTGTTCCCTTAACACTTGAAGTGATCCAGTCTAGACTAGAGAACAATTACTATCGAAATTTGGAGGCAATGAAGCACGACATCTCGGTGATGCTATCAAATGCTGAATCATATTTTGAAAGAAAAGCAGATCTTACAACAAAGATGAGACGCTTATCAGACTGGTTCACACGGACATTATCATCTTTATAGGTTACTTGGATACAATTTTGTAGAAAAATCAGCCACTTTGAGGTTGAATATTCCCTTCTGTTTTCTTGTAGATAATTTGTCTTTATTTGTTTATTCATTTTTTTTTTGCCCTTTTGCTTCAATACCAGTTTATACAGTTTAGGGAATTGGTTTGGGTCCTTAATCGAGGGTAGGGAGGTATCTAAAGGAAAATTAGCTGGTCACTGGGGTAAAACAATCCGCCAGAAATTTCAATTGTGTATAGACAAGACACAGAAAACAATGTGATCATTACTTGATAATGGCAGTCAAAAGTTTAGTCCCTCCTTTTTCTGGCTCAATAACCGTGGGAATGATTATGTTTTTGTTCAAGTAATTTTCAATAGTAGCCTTTATGTTTTTGGAAGTTCCTCCGTATTTTGATCTGCAAAATCATGATTATATTTGTTATTCCTTTTCTATTTGTAAGTTTGATAGCAGTAAGTTGTTTAAGTTTGAATTCAATTTTAACTTGTTTATTTAACAAGACGATTTTAATTTTTTAATAAATCAAATACAAATCAAAGTTGACTGAGGTTTTTGTTTTACGATCTTATTTTTGGTTTGGTAATCTTTAATCAGACATCCAACAAATATTTCTCAAGAAAACATTTGTCTAGACAATAATTTTTTTCACGGGTGATTGGTTTAGATTGTCACATGATACTAGTACTATAGAATAATTATCCCAAAAAAACGTGTCTAAACAATAAATTTTTTCACTAGTAATTGGTTTAGATTGTCACATGATACTAGTACTATAGAATAATTATCCCAAAAAAACATGTGTCTAAACAATAAATTTTTTCACTAGTAATTGGTTTAGATTGTCACATGATACTTGTACTATAGAATAATTACCCCGAATTCACAACTTTCGAGATTGGTGGACCGAGTTTTAACTAACAAACCATGATTTCGTGGTTTCATACAAAACAAAAAGATAATTGCAAGACATGAAAGCACCTAACGAACTGAAAGATGTTAACTTGGAAAGAAAGAATAAGACTACGAAGGAATCCCTGCTTCATATTACATGACCAAACTATGAAATGAAAGTAGAAAAGCACCAAAACAGGTTAACAGAGAAAAGCAACAACTGGTCTCAAATTATTACATGCATCACACATTTGCTAAGAAGACCAAAAGGTAAACATCTACTACATTGAGGGTCAGTTTGAAACAAGCCTAAAATCATCATCTAGTAACCCCCACAGTTACAAAAAGCCTAGTAGGCAGAGATAATGCAATGCATTCCCAAGATACAGATGTTATATCAGAACTTGTTCCTCTTTATTTTAACTTCCTAGTGCTTTCTGCTGTGCCTCCTGCTCTTCCTCCGGCTGCTCCTATTCTCAGAATCAGATTCTGAATCCGACTCGGAATCAGAAGACTCCGAAGAAGAACTATATCGCCGGCGGTGCCTCCTCTTTGTCTGCTTCTTTTTCTTCTTCCTCTTCCTCCTCTCTTCCTCCGAATCAGTAGATGAACTGTAGCCTGAATCACTATCTGATCCAGTAACAGACGATGACCCACTATCAGACTCAAAAACTGAAGCCTCACTATCACTGCTAGACTCTGTATCAGACCTATGCTTCCTTTTGCTTTTCTTTGAACGCTTCTCACCCTTTGGCTCGTTTGGAACATCTGGGTTATCCAAATCATAAGAAATTGATAACTTCATCCTCAATTTTGGATTTTTCAGTTGCTGGGTACGAGAGGGTCGTGAGATGTAAACCCTTTCATTCTTGCATTCGTAAGTCCAATGCCCAGTTTGGAAACATTTCTGGCATTGTGAAGTTGTGCCAGCAACGGCAGACATTGATGTCTTGAGGTCTTTCCTTTCACCCAATTTTACTTGTTTCTCGGTACTCATCAAATACATCTGTCTCTTTGCTTCCTTCCGCTCCTGCCATCTACTGGGACCTTCTTCCTTTTGCCCATATGCATTGACATTTCTGGCGGCAGCTGCGGCTGCTCGCTCAGCCTGAGCACGGCTAAGGCCCTTTGCTGCTGTCAAAGCAGCAGCCTTAATTTTTTCCGCTGCATCATGACCACCTTTCTCTTCTTTCTTACTTGGCATCTTTTTATTGCTCAACAATTAGATCAGAATACACGGGATGTTTTCACTTCCAGAAAACCCAAGGCTTGAATTTGAAGTCAATATTAGGCCACAATCCCTTAAAGCTCTTCCTGAAAAACCAAATGAATTAGTTCTACACAAGCTCAGGAATCCTTCAATCCCAATTCATTAGGTATAAAAGCAGACAAATGAAACTTCAAGAAAACGGCTGAACTATACAAAATGTAATAGTTAAAATTGCAGGTGAATTTAGATGGAATGAACCACCAAACAAATTCATTCACTCATTAACTTTGGGTTTAAAAAAGAAAAGAAAAGAAACTGAAAAACAACTGTGTAAACGGAATTGGCAAACAAATTTAGGCCAAAACAACACAGGAAAGTGAATTCACTCTTTATAGAGTAAAGAAAAGGCAAGATAAGCAAAGCCAAAGCAAGGAACAAATGGCTATCAAATAATAAACAACACACTAACAACCTGTTTGGATTGAGTGATTTGATGAGAAATGATAAGATATGTTTGATTTACAAATTAAGCAAGAAATTGTGGGAAATGGACCGAAAGAAAACTCTCTAATTATGCCACTTTCATTTCTCATCAAAATTTGTGAGAATTTGTGAGAAACCAACTGCTTGGCAGTATATATATATTTTTTATAATACCAAGATTATCCATCAAAATATCCAAAGGAAGAAAAGAAATCTCACCCATATCCCTCTTTCACATTCTTTGTTTTCTTTGCTCTCTGCAAAACACAATCAAATCTTTTCTTTTCTCACCTAATATTCCAAACCAGGCCTAAACCACCTAATCATAGGTTATAATCAACCTCTCAATTGCAAAGCTGAAAACCATAACTTTCTGATGAAACAGGGAAAAACCACCAATTCCCATCAGGGGGGGGTTGGAAACCCAACAAATCAAACAACGAGTATTAAAAAATGGGACAAATTTGGAAGACAACGCATCGAAACCCTAAATTCTGATTTTGAGCAATATCAAAACCCTAGATACGAAGGTCCTTTGCTAGAAACTAGAATTGAGATCGCGACAATAAGCAACACAGATACATTAGCGTGTAAATAAAGGAGTCCTCAAAAATAAAAAGAAAAAGAAAAAGTATCGAAGAGTTTTTGAATTGAAGCACGTACGTACCATCTCAGATCGCAAACACCCAAGAGAGAGAGGACAGAGGAGAGAGAGAGAGAGAATTGGAATTTGGGAGTGAGGTATTATCAAGGTCTGCCACTTATACTTTGATCGACTACGCTACGCTACTAAATTTTTTTTTAAAGATAAAACATTAATATGTTAAAATATTAGGCCAAGTTTGGCATGATTGAAAAAAGATAAAAAGTCAAAAAGTCACTATCTTATTTAAGTCACATCATCTTATTTAAATTACATCACCTCTCTAACACATCACTTCAAACCCAACCCAAATCCAACCCATATTTCATAAAAAGTCAAAAAGTACACTTATTTAGTCTTCTCAAACTAGGCCTTAATATATTAATACCTTTTTTTGAAATTGTCAAGTGTTGCATGATACATGGATTATGTGGTGTTCGAAATCTCTAAGCACCATGTATGGAAAATTATAGATGCACTAAGAAATACCTTTGAGCCTTTGCAGAATCAACAACTATGGACCAAGATGGATATCCAATCTATCGTCGTTGCAATAGTGGTCAAGTATATACTGTGAGAGGAAAGGAAGTTGATAATAGAGATGTGCACCATACAATGCATATCTTTCTAAACAGTTCAACTGTCATATAAATGTAGAAGTTTGTGTTGGAGTGAGATGTGTTAAGTATATACATAAGTACATTTACAAGGGTTATGATCGCACAACAATGATTTTGGGATTGATTAATGAGATCCAACAATATCTCGATGCGAGGTATATTGGACCACCAGAAGCTGCTTGGCAAATATTCGGTCATCATTTGCATGCAGAGGTGCCAACAGTTGTTCACTTAGCACTTCATCTACCTGAAATGCATCGTGTTCTTTTCAATCCTAATGATTCATTGGAAATGACTCTTTCTATAGCTGCGCAAGAAAAATTGACTCTTACTGGTTTTTTTTTACTGTTGTGCTTCCAATGAAAATGAATGCCAATTCACTTTCAAAAAATTTCCTCAACATTTGTTTGGCTCAAGTCAGAACATAGATGGAAACCAAGAGAACATGAATATGCAATTGGTAGAATGTACTTTGCTAGCTCAAACTGTGGTAAAATATTTTATCTGCGTTTGTTGTTAACTGTTGTCAAAGGGCCAAGATCGTTTCAATGTTTATATACAGTTAACAATATTTTGCATGAGACGTTTAAATCAGCATGTGTTGCAAGCGTCTCTTAGAAGATGATGAAGAATGGATATAGTGCCTGAAAGAGGCTGTAGCTATGAAAACCGGATATCAATTGAGGAGATTGTTTTGTATTATTCTAACTCAATGTTTTCCACTACAACCACATACGTTATGAAATAAATTTTCAATTCATATCTGTGATGATCTTGCACATAAGCTTCGTAAATTGTTTGCCATTTCTAACCCAACTGAGGCTCAAATTGAAAATTATGGTTTGTATCTTTTGAATCAAATGCTTCAAGAATCAGGAAAGACGTTAATTGACTTTCCGCCCATGGCACAACCTACAACAAATTGGAGTGCAACAGTTGGTAACCGATTGATATTCGAACATCAACAACTACAGAATGAGGCAAAACCTCAGGGGGCGGGATGTAATTTCCGAAACCTCAGGGAGGTATCTGTAATTTAACCAAACCTCGAGGGGTGTATATGTAATTTGCCCAATTGAAAATTATGGTTTGTATCTTTTGAATCAAATGCTTCAAGAATCAGGAAAGACGTTAATTGATTTTCCGCCCATGGCACAACCTACAACAAATTGGAGTGCAACAGTTGGTAACCGATTGATATTCGAACATCAACAACTACAGAATGAGGCACAACAGATAGATGTGCAAATTACTATTGATTGCCTCAATAATGGATAACGAATTGCTTATAACGCAATCACTTCTTCAGTCTTTGAAAGTAAAGGGACTATTTTCTTTTTGAATAAGGGTGCCGCAACGGGAAAAACATTTTTGTATAATACGATTACATTAAAATGTCGCAGCCTTGGCCATATTGTTGTTACCGTTGCTTCATTTGGAATTGCATCATTGCTATTAGTAGGAGGTCGCACTGCACATTCAACATTTTTCATTCCATTAGATGTCTTGGAAAATTCAGTTTGTGGGTTTAGAAAGCAATCATTATACGTTGAATTGTTTAGAGAAACAAAACTCATAATTTGGGATGAAGTTCCTATGCAACAAAGACATTGTGTTAAGGCGGTTGATCGCACACTTCGAGATATTTGTGATAGTGAAAAGCCATTTGGGCGTATCACTGTTGTTCTTGGTGGAGACTTTCGACAAATCTTACCAGTTATAATCAAACGAGTTCGTGAACAAATTGTGAATGCGTTATTAAGACATTCTATTTTGTGGAAGGATCTACATGTTTTATCTTTAGATTTCAATATGCGCTTGAATCATGCAAACCTTGGAAATGCTATTTTTGCAAAATTCTTGACGAAGGTAATACTCATTCGAACTTTTTCCTTATCAAATGGTGTTTCAAATTGAGGATACTTCGATTATATCATTTCTTTTTATTTTATTTTATTTTATTTTATTTATTAGATTGGGACCAATCCGCAAGAAATCATTAAAATTCCATCAACAATACACAAATGCCAGGATCTAACAGAATTACTCTCAGCAATTTATCCACATTTAGATGTGGTGGATGCATCAACCCCATCATTCTTAACTGAACGCACCATTCTTTCAGCACGAAATGATGATGTCAGTGCTATCAATAATGCTGCATTGAATATTTTTTCAGGGAATACATATGCGTATCTTGTTGCAGATAAGATAGCTGAAAATGATGAAATTGATCTTTCTATTACAAACAAATATCCTAATGAGTATTTAAATTCATTAGATCCTCCTGGGCTACCAGCTTTTAAGGTATAGTTGAAAGTGGCTTGTCTTATAATGTTATTAAGAAACATTGCAAAAGATGGACTATGTAATGGTACAAGATTCATGGTTTCAAGGCGCAACACCTGTATAATTGAAGCTCGAATCTTAACTGGAGAGAAATTTGGCAATTTGACATTTATACCAAGGATATCATTGACTCCGTCTTCTTCAGAAATGCCTTTCCGAATGACAAGACGTCAATTTCTAATTCGATTGGCATACGCCTTGACCATTAATAAATCTCAAGGGCAATCTGTGAAATTTGTTGGAGTTGATTTGCGTATACCTGTTTTTAGTCATGGGCAACTATACGTGGGATTATCCAGATGCACGTCTTTCGATCGTATCAGTATCCTCCTTCCCAAGGATGAGCCAGATTCCACTACAGATATTGTTTATCCTAAAGTTTTGTTATAGTGATATGTTCGGAAATTGATGAGGTGTTCATAAGAATTGTAGGAAAGAACAAATTTGAAGACATTGTCAAACACATATTTTTGTAAAGTATACACATTTTGTAAAGCAGACGATAGCTATGACCCATTTTTTGTGAAGCTTTCCACTGATGTGGACTTTGTTGCATTTCTAATATTTTTGTAAAGCCTTTTATTCCCCAATATTTTTACATTTTCAGTATAGCTAAGTTTAGCTTAAGTGTATTTAATATAATGTTTGTTTGGATTATGTAGTGGCAAATCTTATTTTATTTTTTTACCTCCAGTTATTTTAATGGCTTTATTTTTGTCTAACGATGCACACGTTAATTTGGGACAACTCTGTATGGGTGTTTTTAGGTGTTTTTGTATTTTGTTTTCATGCATAATTGTTGATTTCTCATCTAGAACATGTTTCTTTTCTATAACAGGTTTAATGCTTCTTTGTACCAATTAAACGTATCTAAGGTCAACTACTTCTCATGCTTTTTTTGGATATTTAGTATTGTCTGATATTATTCTGCTTTTGAAACTCCATACCTTTTGTTTTCCTTTTGCACTTATAAATGCACAATTTATAGATTGTGCTACGACGGATTTGAGCAATATATTTTTGGTACCTATTAATAGTTGGAGCTATTTGATGTTTATTTAAATTGTTTTTTGTTTTTTGTTTCAATATATGTTTGTAGCATTTCATTACACCATGTTAACCCATTAAAGGTATCCTAATTCTTTAATAAAGTAATTGGCTTCCATTGGGAATGAAATTGTGTAACTTTTTTTTTAGTTCATGAAATTTTTTAAGATTTAATATTGTCAATAGCCATTTCCTATTGCATAACATTTGTTTAGAGTGCACTGCAATGTGGCATATGGTTGCTTGGTCTATTTATTACTTCAATTTTTGAATTTTTTTTAATTTTTTTTTTTAAAGTTTAACAGGAGAGCTCTGTTTTTTGTTAGTTTACTTTTTTGTCTTGTTTTGTTTTTTTTTTTTTTTTTGGGACAAATTTGTTTGGGTTTACTTTACAGTGTTTATGAAAGAGATCATGCTTTAATTACACCTGAAAGTCATGTGTTCAACCCTTTACTTGATTGGTATATTCAATTGCAACTCTATGTTTTGACATGTGTCTTGGATATTGTTAAATGGATATAGTATGAACTGGAAATTGACGTTTTATTAATATGCTTTTCTTTTATTTTTATCAATCAAAAGAAAACACAACATAATCATAGCCTATTGCCTTAGTTGTCCTATTGTTTTTTCTACTTGGGAGTTGATTATTTAAAATTAGAGGAGGTTGATTATTTACTTGGGAGTTTTTCTACTTGTGTTCATTTTTTGTCAAGTGCTTCGAAGAAGGTAGTAAAAATAGAGGAGGAGAACATGCTAAGATCAGGGTAGCGGGACTATGTTAAGATTATAGGAGGAAAACATATTAAGATCGGGGGAGCTGAACTATGTTAAACCTATAGAAGGAAAACATGTTAAGATCATTTTCATTTCAGGTATTGATATTAGCAACAGTTGATGGCTATTGGATGACTTTAAATCTTTTAATTTGGCTATTTATTAAAAGCAACAATTTTTATTCTAAAGTTGTCTATAGTTGATGTAATTGATGATTTTTACATTAATATGTAAACAATTTCTATATACTACTATTTGTCAAGTTATGATTTGTATTTGGCCTAATCCATGTTATTTGTTCTATGTTGTTTCAATCAGATATTTGTAGTTCGGGGTATTGTGACACTCACCAATTTATAGGGGGTTGGCCACAAACTAATGGTAAGAGTATTGACTTCATCTTTTATTTTGAGTCAGTTTATTACAATTGAGTTCTGCACGTGGTATTAAAAAAAAATTGTCTTTCTTTTGAATTGAATTAATTTATTATTTTGGACATGTAAGTTGTCACTACTTTGGACATGTCAGTTGTCTTTTTATTTTTTTTCTTTTTTAAATACACTTTCCCCTCCTCTAATTGTCTTCTAATAAAATTATGTTCTCTTTTATTTTCATAGGACGGTGGAGATTTGCACCAAACTGTAATATTGGCTCTTTTTACTCATCTTATTTCATTAGGAAAATTACAAATTAGTGAGTTTTTAAATATTTTGTAAAGTTATCACCTATTTATAATTTTTCTTATTTAATGTACTCTTCTTACTATACATTTTCTTTCAGGTATTGATACTAGCAATACTTGATGGCTATTAGATGACTTTAAAATCTTTTTAATTTGGCTATTTTGTAAAGTAACAATTTCTATTTTATAGTAGATGTAATTGATGATTTTCACATTAATTTGACAAATCTAATGAGTTGCAGGAATTATTTTTTTACAAAATTAAATTTCACCATTTAAGCGGTTTTATGAAAAATGTATTGCTATATTGTTGGAATGCTATGGCATAGAGTTGATTTCTTTTTCATAATATGATACATCTAGTTTTTCAATTTATAGTTGATTGCAAAATTCATTGATGTAGGATGACGATTCGTGTGTTTTGTTATATAGATTGTCTATTATTTGTTGAAGAAAATTTAATATTGGGGCTCCCTCCGTGATGTAAAGATGTGTCAATGCTTTCTTCAGATTGATTGGAAAATTATTTCAAATATTTGCTTTCTGTATCTTAATATGTAAACAATTTCTGAAGATTACTATTTGTTAGGTTATGGTATTTATGTTGTCTATATTATGTTATTTCAGTAAGATATTTGTGGGTTAGCGTACTATGACACTCACCAGTGTATCAGGTGTTAGCCACAAACTAATAGTAAGAGTGCGGACTTAATCTTTTATCAAGTGCTACAGACTCTACCAATTTTAACATGATAGGTACAATTTACAGTTATATTTTGATCCCAATATTATTTACATCGTGTCTTCAGGCACGGACATACATTAGTAAAGTTATATTACAGGATGTTTTGGGAAAGTAATTAAAAATTAATTTTTTAGATTTTTTAACTTTTTTATGAGAGTGGTAATGTAATTTAAAATAAATAAAAAAATTAATTTTAACTTCTTCTTTTTTATGATATTCTCGAATGACTCCACAATTTAAGAGATAGTCACTGATTTATTCATCAAATCGAATTCTAAATCTTTCACTCACCGCACTTTATAGTATGACTATATATCACTCGGCCACCACGGCCTCGACGTCCCAAAAGATGGAATAAAATTGAGCGAAAATTATTCGGTGCTCCCACAACATCATATCATGCCACCAATCAACAAAAAAATAAGGAAATATATATGACTAAAATGCTTTTTTTTCCGTCCAGATATATACACATAATTTAAATTAAAAATAAATTAAGAAATTATCATTTAAATTGATATAATTAAAAATTAGAAGTTTATTTGGTTATGATAGTCAAATATTTTTGTTTTATATTGGATATATAGATAAATTATAGCATGAAACTAAAAAATATTTAAAAATCAGATATAGGGAGTTGAAATTTTCTGTTAGGATGTTATAAATAATAAAATAGAAAATATAATTATTTTAGTTTTAAATGGAGAAGAAAATTAGTTTAAAGTGACCTAATCTTTCTAATACCACCCTCAATCGGTACTTAATGAAAAATGTTGTGGGTCTTGATGCAATTTTCATAATGATTTGAATTACTACGCACATCGTACCATAGAAGGAGCTCAATGGGTCGTCTTCAACAAAATTTTGTATACAATCACAAATGAACTTATGCAATGTTTAATTAACAAGAATAAAAGTAAAATGAAACAGAATAGAATACTAATTCTTTAATTTCTCTGAACATTCACTGTGAATTATGATATCACTTAAAAATGTATTTTTTATAATTTTACAACAAATAGTAATAAGCCGTCCACAAAATTAGATTAGAGCAGTCAATATTAAGATTGTAAGCTTGAATGCTACAAAGGCTAGCAGCATAGACAAGACAAGTGAAGAATACAAGAAAGAAGTGAAGAATCACTCATTAAAATATCCATCTCAACGAATAAATTGTTGTTATAACATCTCAAGTCATCAACCCTTTTGAATGACAAGAACCCTTCAGGGTCACTATGATGACCCTATCTCTACAAAGTAAATTTCAAATATCAACAATCACTGACAATTCATCAGATCACCAACAATACACCACAAGGTAAGCCAAGATGTTGCCAACACCAACAATCCATAGGTATCAAATAAGCCATGGTGTTACGAACAAAAGTTGAACAGTAAACATTCAGATGTGGGTTGATGTGGGTTTATGATTGGTCTCCATGACAATCTTAAACCAGTAGGCAACCCCTCATGGTTCTTTAGTCATCAACCTATGTTATCTGATGCAGAGTAATCTTGTGTGTGTGTGTGTGTGTGTGAGAGAGAGAGAGAGAGAGAGAGATCACTGGAAATAGCACAAGGTGTTGCCTCGAACATTCAAGTGTGATTTTGAAATCGTTCTCCCAATTTGCACCCATACACACCAAAAAGGAACTGTTAAAACGTTCAATTCAGCAGTTTGAACCAACCAAAAGGATCCTATAATAAGAATAAAATCTGAACTTGATTAACCAACTACTACAAACGCTCCAAGGATTGGGAGTTGGCTCATTGAACAAAATATTAGTCTAAAGACAACACTCGGAATGATTTCTTTTTTTAGACAAGAACTAGACATTGTTGCATATAGAATAGACAAGAAAGCAAAATGACTTCCTGGCAAGCATTGGCCTACTGCCAACCTAGAATATCCCTGCAAGAAGGTTTGCGGCGGTGGAGATTGCTGCACCAGTAATAGCACTTTGCACTATCTGCTCATGGGAAGAATCTTCTGATGTAAGTGCCAGCGCCATGCCTGTTATTGCTCCTGCCACTGCACTATTTTTCTGCAAAAAAAGAAAACAATATGCTGTTACGAACAAATTAAGATACATGAAATAGGAGACGGCATGGTATCTCAGGATATGAATTTAAAAAAAT